CTGAAGCCAGCAAGGTAATTTCGGATTTTTTCACCGTAATTATCGAAAGCAATCTTGAAATCTAACTTAATTTGCGATATAACTTCATCCACATATTGTTTGTTTGCAACATCAGCGACATCTGTTGGCAGTTTTACGTTACACATCTTCAAATGACCAACATCAATATCACCGGTTGGAGTATGTGAAAATCCAGATCTGACTGTCACCATCTGAGCTGAGCGTGGAAACGAACCACGTCCGAATTTGTCGAGACTCATTATGCTAATGACTAAAGTATTGTACGTTATCGATAATGGTCGGCACTTTGCCTCGCCAATTATTAGCCCCTTCACTCATAGACATGCCATGAAAGTGTCACGGAACTGTCAAGGAAGTGTCACGGAACTGTCACGGAAGTGTCAAGGAAGTGTCACGGAACTGTCACGGAACTGTCACTGAAGTGTCAAGGAAGTGTCACGGAACTGTCACGGAAGTGTCAAGGAAGTGTCACGGAACTGTCACGGAACTGTCACTGAAGTGTCAAGGAAGTGTCACGGAACTGTCACGGAAGTTGTCATGGAAGTGTCACGGAAGTATCACAGAAATGTCACACATGTTTTATTATGCCTGCCTCTTCTAATTCGTTCAAGATGGCAACAATCTCGTTATCGTTTGATGTATTTCCGGCTTGCTGTGATGCAATGAGCAACTTCAATCTATCTACCAATTCGTTTGGATCATCCCAATACATGTATTCGATAGGTGCTGTGTTGTATGTCAACTTCAAACCACGACCACTGGAATTGGATCTGAACATTGGACGAATAATTTCTACGTATTTGAGTCTAGAGGAGGACTTCATACGTCCTGCAGAATTCAGATGAACTTTGGTGAGCAAGAGTATTTGCTTGTATGGGTTCGTATCATCTTTGGCAAAGGATGGATCATTATAGAAGAGTAATTGATAGAGGCCTGGGGTGCCACGGAACCGAAAGCCATCAAGAAGTATATCTCCAGTTCTTCGATGGAAATTCATTTCTTTTCCGTTGAGAGACCATTTCGATGTTACTGGATCATATTTGGGACCATAAACCGTATCGATATTTTCATCATTTGTCCAGTATTCAGTCAGATATTTTTGAGCCATCGCAGGATACTGATCAACGTAATCATGTATTGCAGCCGGTGAGATATTTTCACTATCTACAAAAAGTTCATCATCAGCATCGTCATAACCATCCTCATCATCATCTTCAGTATGCCCAGCATTATCAGCCACATCCATCATAGGTATGAAATTAGTTTGGTTCAAATCCGATTGCTCCCTCTCCACCTCCCCATCCTCTTCCTCCTTCTTCTCCTTCTTCAACCCCAACGATTTTGCTCTGCTTCGCTTGATGTTTGAAAGCGTTCCATCGAGTTTTTCTTTTATTACCTTGGACGTGGTGGCAATTTGTTTCAAAGGTGATGTCAGTGGTTGGAATATTTTCTGTAACGCATCATCATCCTCAGACTTGCCCAATTTTAGTGCTAAATATTTTCTTCTGATTGATTTCGATAGTTCGTTGATTTTTTTCTTGCGCAGCGCATCAGCAACATCATCATGCATCTTGGTTGACGTCATCTTGATGAATGGTCCAGAGATCACAGTCTTATGAACTTATCGAAACCATTTCTATATCTGCCAGCATTCATATCGAAAGTTTTTGCAATCACCATCGCACCATATTGGTTGGAATTCCAACACTCTGAGCACAATGCTTTAAATTGATCGAATGACATGTCTGGTGAGACATGCTCGTCGAACACATGCTTCAAATTCATTTCATCCTGTCGAAATAACACCAACAGGTTACTGTTGTCTCGCACCAGCTGCTTCGGTATCTTAGAAAAAGTCTGGCATAGGTATGCTACGTCAATATCCTTGTGTCTACACATTGAAAAATATTCTCGAATTTTTTGCTGCTTGTCACATGATACATCATCAAAAATGAATATCGAATTATTTTTCGCTTCTGATGGACTAATGACATCATCATTTTCTTTAAAGGGAAAATACCCAACACCTTTCACTGAATCCAACACTTGTTGCAGCAATTGATATTTCGGTTGGTACAACGACTTTGAATACACGTAAACGTTCTCGAATTTCGCGCCATTTGGATTGAACAGCAGGGAAAGCATCGCATTGGTCTTTCCACATCCGCTTGGTCCGCAGAAGATTGCTCTGAACGAATGGGGAAGCAGTTTCCCATGTTTACTATTTACTGGTGGTTTGGTTGACAAAATTTCATCCAAATTCACAATGGGTAACATCCGTTCTTGTTGAATGATCTTCATCATGTGATGATATATTTTTCATTTCATTAGGTATATGCAGAGTTGTCGAACTTCCTACACGTCAGTCTTCATGTTGCTCTACCACGGAGAGGGTGTGCTTAATTCTCTGATCGATAAACTTCCCATCGAATTACACATTCCAGGCTACAGATTTTGTGGTCCAGGTACCAAACTCGATAAAAGACTTGCAAGAGGAGACACCGGTATCAATCCGTTGGACGACGCGTGTCGAGAACACGATATCGCCTATTCACAAAATTCCTCAATAGAAGACAGGCACAAAGCTGATTGGATATTGGAAAATAGAGCGTGGGAGAGAGTCAAGTCGAAGAACGCTAAATTCAAAGAGAAGGCTGCTGCTTGGCTTGTCACCACCGGAATGAAGGTCAAACGAAAACTTGGCATGGGTCTTGTATCACAGCAATCCCTATCCAACATTATCAAATTCATAAAAAATGTACTATCAAAGTCAGATGGTGGTGGTAGTACAACATCAGGAAGTGGTCTGAATAAATCTGCATTGAAAGCACTCCATGCAGCCAGAATGGCAGTCAAGAGGGCTGGCGGTAAAAAAAGAATCAGAGTACCAAGAATCATACCTCTTCCACACAGTGGCGGTATACTACCATTGATACCAATCTTTGCCGCCTTGGGAGCCCTAGGATCTCTAGCTGGAGGAGCCGGAGCAGTCGCAAAGACAGTCATTGATGCGAAAAATGCAAAGAAAAAGCTCGAAGAAGATCAAAGACATAATAAAGCAATGGAGGCTATCGGCAAGCAGGGTTCCGGCCTATTTCTACGCAAAACATCGAGAGGATTCGGACTGTACTTGAAGAAACAATCAAAAAACTCAAAAAACTTCTAGACAAGCTACCCAATAAATCAATGTACGATAAAGATGTGATAAAGTATGCCAAACAGCTGAAAATACCATATTTTCGAGGTGTTTTTATGCGGGACACTCTACCTTCCACCGGTCCATGGCATCGCGAGTGTGCTGTATTGAATTTGGATACCTCCAATCATGCGGGCACTCATTGGGTGGCTTACATAAAAAATGATAAAAAAGCCTTATATTTCGATAGTTATGGTAATCTGAAACCGCCCAGAGAATTGGCGCAATATTTGGGTGCCAGCACGAAAATCTTGTACAATAACAATCAATACCAGAATTTCAATCAAAGTAATTGTGGACGTCTTTGTTTAGAATTCCTTTTTAATGAGACCAAGTAACTCGGTCATTGTGCATCAGTCATGTCTCTGATTGTGACGTTGAAAGGTCGTACATCTACGCTCTCCATAGACTTTTTGACACCACTTCAACTCGATCCAGACTCTGATTACAGACTAGCATTGTTGGGATTCCATTCATACAACAGTATACCGAATATCGACAAAGGATCAAAGTTTTATCTGCAAGATAAGACCAAGGCGGGAAAGATCATCGATATTCCCGAAGGTTCATACGACATTGTGGACATTGAGACATTCATACGCAAAGAATTGGGCATCTCAAGTGCAAAGGACGTTGATGATATATTCTCGTTGAAGCCCAACAATAATACACTAAAGTGTGAGATTTCGAGCAAACAGTTTGCCATTGATTTTCGCCCGAAGGATAGCATAGCTCAAGTCTTGGGATTTTCAAATAGATTGTTGAACGCACAACAAGTCCACACTTCCGATTTGCCGGTCAGCATAACCAAAGTGAGAACCATTCACATTGATAGCAACGTTACTGCTGGAGCTCTCTACAACGACAGACCATCACATACGATCTACGAGTTTGCAGTTGCAGTCGATCCTGGTTACGCCATAGACGAGACTCCCAGAAATCTTATCTATCTACCTATAGTCAGCAGGCGGGAATTGCCCAACATTACACTCCAGATTCTAGACCAAGATTTCAGGCAGGTGAATTTTAGAGGTGAAGAAATCATAATAAGATTGGAATTGAAGAAACTCGCAAGATGGTACTAGTGTTTGATTACTCCTATAAATCAGATAATATACCATCATCAGCAACATCATCAGCACCAGTTCTCTCGACACCGTACACCAAAGCAGTCGTGTCTTCGAAGAGCAGCAGCAACAGAAAAACATTGACATTATCCAGTGTCCTGTTTCTGAAATCACTCAAAGACTACAATGTTGTTAGCACCCGTGTTCGACGTTTTCCGCAAACCCAGACTCGACGAAAGCATCACTAAAGTGGAATGGCGTAACTATTATCCATATGTGAAATCATTCGAGAACAATGATGTCATCGATATAACGGTTAATCAAGCAGATTCGTGGTTGGCCATGTTTGAAGGCATCATTACCATCAAGGGTAAATTGAAGGTGACCGGTGGTGGTACTGGTACATTAACCCACAATGCTGGAGCTTATCTCTTTGATTCCTGCACCTATGAATTGTGTAATAAAGAATTGGACACTGTCAGATATCCTGGAATAACGAGTACTGTGCGAGGATACTTGTGTTATACACCTGAAGACTCACGTCATCTAGCCATAGCAGGCTGGAACTATCCCAATGCTCCGATCCTCAACACCGATGGTACGTTTAGCATGAACATTCCACTGAAACATTTGTTTTCCATCTTCAATGATCATCAAGTGGCAACGTGGGGCAAGCAGTCAATCCGTTTAGTGAGAGCTCGCAATGATGCCAACAGTGTGAAGGTTGTCGAGAGAGCGAATACTGCTTTGCCAGGATCTCCTCAGACTCAAAGTATTGCTAAAATAACGATAGAAAGCATCAATTTGAAAGTGCCACATCTCACACCCAACGATGACATAAAGTTGCAGTTGTTGACACGTATCAAAGCAGATGAGTCTATGATGATACCGTTTCGCCGATGGGAATTGCACGAGCTACCAGCACTCACACAAGGATCTACCATAGAAATCTGGTCCGTCAAGACATGTTCTGCATTGGACAGTCCAAGATATGTTATAGTATTTTTCCAAACGAAAAAAGCCGATAATTTGCATGAAGACGTCACCTTGTTCGATAATGCCAACATCAAATCCATACGATTGGCTCTGAATAGCGACTATTATCCGCAAGAACGAATGCTATTGGACTTTTCCCGAGACCAATATGCTGACGCTCACTTCAACTATACAGAGTTCAACAAGAGCTACCATAACTGTCAAGAAAAGCGCTCTCTAGTAAACTTTGCCGAATTCAAATCCCGACCAATGTTTGTTATCGATTGCTCGAGGCGCCATCTGGGTCTAAAGTCGTCCACAGTTGACATAAAGTTGGACATTGAAGCGACTACAGGCTTCCCTCCCGACACCAAAGCCTATTGCATCATCATTCACGATCAAATCATGGAACATCTCCCACTCAGCGAAATTGTTCGAAATATTGCCTAGGTGGGTGTTGCTGCATCAGTCAGACGTCAGTTTGCTTCGAAGAGTCATGGAGATCGCACTGGTTGACATTCAAGGGTTCATGGTTGATGGTGAATTCATTCCAAAGGAAATGACCATTCGCATTGGCAAAAAGACGAGTCATTTTCTATTCAAGCCATCTGTAGAATTTTCGAGTTTGAGCAGAGAAGATAAAAAGATGGCAAATCATGTGGAGCGTTACGTTCATGGTTTAAAATATTCCAGTGGTTATGTGGATTTGAATGAGTTGGATCAAATACTACGAGATAACCTGCAGCAGACAAACATCATCTACGTAAGAGGCCATCAAAAGATTCAGTTCTTGCAGCGAAAATGTGCAGAGTTGGAGATGACCAATCACATTGTTAATTTGGAAGATTTTGACAATTCTTGGTGGCAACCAATAACGTTTCAACAATCCATTCCACCTTGCATGCATCATTTCCATGGAGGAAGGTTCCAGTGCAGTCTCCACAATGTCGATACTTTATATAATTGGTTATGTAATTTATTGCCAAAATAAAAAACTATATATCGTAATTTCAGAGTTTTTATTCATCACATCCCTTATTTCTCAGTATAATGAAAATAACATGTGAGATTAAAATGAGTGAACATATTAGTGTACAACAAAGTGTCAAAATTGCAATGATATTGACCGAATCTTGATCATCATCTAATTTTGCGGGGGATTTCTTCAATGTAAATGTCTGCCAGTCTCCCATTTCGCCGTCACTGCCATCAGAAAACGATAATTTCAATTTGTAGTCGATGCTGCTTTCATTAACATGTTGTGGCATGTCGATTGAATATACAGGTAGTTTGTTATCATTGACATACATTCTAGTCATCATCTTCCAATCACATTGTTGTGTACGATTCACATCAAAACATACGGCTACATTCCTTGTATTGTACGGTATGTTTGTGTAGAAGACGTTGTTGCTCAGAGCTGTCAATAGGATGAAGCTTGCTTTCAGTATCGCCATCTAGTAGCTGTGTTGGTTGAATTCTTCTTCTTCTCGATGTAGGTGTAGCTGTGCGTCTCGGTTCTGTGAACACCTTGTCCCAAATACTCAATTGCTCGAAATCTTTGAACAAACAAACTTTCTGCTCATACAATTGGATGTCTGCACTGAGCTTTCTAACTTTCAACCCAAATTCTTCTAGTGCACGTCTGTATTCGTCAGAAGACATGATACAACTGTTTTTTACATCCATACTTTCAACCCACATCTTATTACATCTCTTTCCCTCTCTCTCTCTCTCTCTCTATCTCCCTTTCTCAGTTTCGCTGTATCAAGCTACATTATAGCAGCCCTGCAGGTTGCCGATTGGTATAATTTGCTAACGATTGACCAACGTACATTTCAGGTAAGTGTCTTTCAAGGAATAACTAATGAAAAACCTAAAATTCAAACTCCCACCCTAACGATGTCTATTAGATGAATCATTCTCGATTTTAACCAGTAATAAAACCTACTGATCAACTTCAACACCCTCTATCGCGAAAACTAAAATCAAAGATCATTCCTTGATGTAATAGCCTGATGAAGAATCACTCTATTGAAATAGAAACATAGTTTTCTCAAGATTGCCTGCAAATAACATATTACCTCCAAATGAAGAGAAATCTGTAGCACCAATGTTTCCACGCCATTCTAGACATTTTTCGATTGAGCAGTTGGTACTATTGAAATTATAATAGCGCGCCAATTTAGTGATGTGCGTGACTGTCTTTAACATAGTGTATCAAACATATAGGCAAAGGATATTTCAAAGGCGAGTGAAAATTATTCTTTTTAAATTTATGAATTCATATTGATTTTGTATGTGTGACAAATAGTCTTAATTTGCATTAAGATCATTTGAAACTGATGTTTACTGAAATTTCAAAGTGAAAAGTCGGTGGCCGGTTACTAGATATTTATTTTTATTAAATTCCAGTAGCCGGACAAGTGTCCGACTACTTGGCTTATTGATAATATGATCTATTGAGCATTTCTTTCATGCATCACATAATATGATTCTTTTGTAAAACTCAGTCCACTGTCCGACTATACTGACTGATTCACCCTATACATTGAGAGGCTTAATATGAAAAATAGTCTTCATGTATGCATATTATATTCAAGCATTGTTATGCATTTTATCTGCCACTGAATCCGCCGAATATTTCAAAATCTGATACTCTTACAATAGATGAACTATAGACAACAATTAACGAGTTAGTATAAAGGACATACACGGGTTCTCTTATCGTTTTTTCACGAAATCAACGAACTACCGAAATCAAACAGCTGTTCAAGTTGGAGCGTTCAAACAGGATGCCGTTATCTTGGTTGTTCTATATTTGGCGTATACAGAAAATCATATTCTTTCAAAGCCTAGAAAGATGATTAAATCAGCTGAGTTATAGACTAAAATTAACGGATAATAAAGGAAATAATCCTATTATTATTGATTCTCTTATCGTTCCATATGAGATACAAGATACAAGGAACTATCGAAATCACACAAAAAACAGCTGTTCAAGCTGAAACAAGAGCTGTTTTTAGTCCTAGACCTAATATTCAATATCCCACACTAAAAAATATTTCTGCTATACAGGGCGGGTCAGCAAGAAATGTCGCTACCTCGTTTTTCATTTTTGTGACTCTTAGAGTGATTATCATCGTAAAAATGTCAGTCGACCAAAGACAGTCAGCAAGTCAACCAAGTTTATGATTTCATCACACTACCTACCAGTCATTATACAGGGTTTTTAAATATATATTTTTGTATGCCAAGTTGAGTAGTCATTGTGAGTCTACTCGCCTACCAGGTGTTGAATAAAAACGGATAATTTTGACATCATTTATTTTTTAGATATTATACCAACATTTTCAAGTTCAGTAAGAATAAAGGCAATCTCGTTGTTGTTCTTATCTGATTCCATTAAATATCTCAGTCTATCCACCAAGATATTTGGATCTGTCCATTCATCTAAAATATTGTAGGTACTCCTTCATTCCCAATACTGGCTTCAGGCTCCACGCTCGACTTTGGACGTTTAGGCTTGGTCTTATTTTTGAAGAGGGGTCTGATAATTTTATCGAATTTCTCCTTATCAGCTTGTCCTCGTAATCGCCCTAATCGATCTCTATGAATAGAGCTGATTTCCAGTATCTGTTTATACATCTGGTGATCCAGAGGCGTGTAATTTCGAGGATTCTTGGAAAATAATAATTCCAAAAGACCCAGAGTACTTTTAAAATCGACATTATCTACGCCTATGTATTGGTCCTCAAAGCGTAGATTCTTATGTCCAAGTGTCCATCTGCCGTCAACATATTTCGGTCCATAAGCATTATCATAATCTGCACAGTGATATTCATCTAATGCTTGCTCTGATGAATGTGGTTTAGACTCCATGATGTGAACGCTATGGTGTCTGATATACAACTGAAGACTCTTGAATACCTCTGAAGACATCTGAATACCTCTGAAGACATCTGAATACCTCTGAAGACATCTGAATACCTCTCAAGGCGTGATCTGAAGACCTCTGAATACCTCTGAATACCTCTGAAGACATCTGAAGGCGTGATCTGAAGACCTCCGAATACCTCTGAATACTTCTATAGGTGTGATCTGAAGACTTCTGAATCCATTAACTGCCATCCGCTAATCAGCTAGGTTATTCGAATTGGTGGCGTCCACTCTATGGGCATTCCTCATATGGTGGTATAGGTTAGTTTTTATTCAAGAATTTCCCACATTTCTCACACAATAGCTGATGTCTATTATAGGTGAATTTTCTCTTTTTAAAACTTTCCCAGGTGTAATTGATGTTAAATGGAATCCGCTCTCCACTATTGAGGCATTCTATTATAAAACCATTATTACGAAGTTCTCGTACAGTACACAGCTGATGACAGCGCTCACAAATATTAGCCATGACTACTCTATAAGAGAATATATAGTTGTTTTCGTATCCTTCCACTCCCTACATACATCATATTGCAAACACCATCTGTCATACGTCATATGTCATGTATTACGCGACATCAGATATTTTTTGAAAATCTGACAACACCTTATCGACTTCATAAATAATAATTTCCAACGTCTGGCAACAATGTGACGGTTATCGCAAATATTTCACCATAAATTTATTTCGATGTGATACTTGTGTGTCTTATCTCTAGAACGCATCTCTCGCTTTGCTCTACCTCTACAGATCCGTTGCAAAAATAACCGCGCGCCAGCGATGGATATTATTTTCGACTCGATGAAATCTCCTGCAATGGCTTTGGTGAAATTCACTGAAGAAGAATTACAGTACATTCCAGTAGAATGTCTCATTGAATATGCAGATCCTTATGGGCTATTGGCTGTGTGGCACAAACTTCCCAATGAATATCGTGGCAACTTCAACCTACAAATCAAACTGCCATGCTTCGTTCATTATAATCGTCCCGATTGGACCACACACTGGGATGGACCGCCATCTTCTCAAGAATCATGCTATTTTTGTAAAAAAGCTTTACTGTGGAATAAAAATTGATTATCTAACAATAATTTTCCTCGTAGTAGTTTCATTTCGCATTTATGTACCATTAATGACATATGTCAATGGTAGAACGATATCCCTCAAACCATGCGACTTTGCATATAGGTATATTGGCATTTCCGAGAATTGTCCATAAAAAATCCTATTTTGAGAGAGTACCCACACACGTCACGTGATGTCATTTTACCAGAAGAAAAAACAACAACAGCATGACGCGTCACCCACTATAAAAATAAATAATTAATTATTCAAGTATTTGTTTCCAATACGAGCACGCGCGCGCGCTTATCATTCTAAGGGATCTCTCGC